AAAATATTTATATAAAATAGAAGAAGCACTAAAATCTATAAGAAAGATGTGTGTCCTGAGTAGCAGTAATATCTGGTATTGATTTCGAGTCTCTGGTTCACATGACATGGAGGCTTTTAGAAAAAACATTACTTTTCAATAAAAATATTTATATAAAATAGAAGAAACACTAAAATCCAATATGAAGATATGTATCTTGTGTATCCAGTGTAGTTGTAAGAACTGGTATTGATTTTGAGTCACTGGATCACATCACATGGAAGCTACTGAAAAAAAAGCTATTTAACCATTAAAATATTTATATAAAATAGCAGAAGCACTACAATCAATCATCAAGATTTGCTTCCTGTGTTGCAATAATATCTGGTATTGATTTTTAATCTCTGGTTCACATTCCATGAAAGATACTGAAAAAAACATTACGTAACCATTAAAATATTCATATCTTTATAGAACAGAAGATGCACTAAAACCGATTATAAAGATGTGTGTCCTGTGTAGCAATAATATCTGGTATTGATTTTGATTCTCTGTTTCACATTACATGGAGGCTATAAGAAAATAAACAACAACATTAATTTTCCATAAAAAATATTTTATATAAGATAGAAGTAGCACTAAAATACAATATGAAGATGTGTATCTTGTGTGTTCAGTGTAGCTGTAATATCTGGTATTGATTTTGAGTAACTGGTTCACATCACATGGAAGCTGCTAAAAAAACAACATTTTTTAACCATTAAAACATTATATAAAATAGAGAAAGCACTAAATCAATTATAAAGATGTGTCTCTTGTGTCGCAATAATATCTGGTATCGATTTTGAGTCTGGTTCACATTACATGAAAGCTATTAAAAAACCATTAAAATACTTAGATAAAATAGAAGAAGCACTGAAATGGATTATAAAAAGATGTGTCCTGTGTAGTGACAATATCTGGTATTGATTTTGTGTCCCTGGCTCACATTACACAGAAGCTATTAAAAAACAAACAAACAAATAAAAAGCATTACTTTCCCCTAAAATATTTAGATAAGAAGCACTTAAATTCAATATAAGAAGGTGTGCTCTGTGTACTGATAATGTCTGTCACTGGCTCACATTACATGGAAGCTACTGAAAAAAAAAACAATACTTAACTATTAATATATTCATAAAAAATAGAAGAAACACTAAAATCGAATACAAGGATGTGCCTCTTGTGTCGCAATAATATCTGGTATCCATTTTGAGTCTGGTTCACATTACATGGAAGCTATTAAAAACAAACAAACAAATGAAAAACATTGCTCAACCATTAAAGACACACTTAAATAAATTTTGAAGAGATGTGTCATGTACAGTGATAATATCTGGTATTGATTCTGAGTCTCTGAGTCACGTTTTATAGATGCTATTTTGGTGAAAAAATCCATTAAAAATATATAGCCTATATAAAACAGAAGAAGCACTAAAATCCGGTTACAATAGTAAACCATACCTGCTTGACACTATGTACTACTGTACATCTATGATATAACACTAGCATGCTAACATTGAGGTTAGCATTTAGCTCAAGTACAACCTCACAGAGCCACAATGATCGTTAGCCATGACACACACTTGGCCATTAGCCTTATTAGCATATATGTCTTGTTGGTTATTATTAAATACCACTCTCATACTTTTGCTGTTAAGTGTGTTTTTTTTTTTTCATTTTCATCGCCAAATTATTAAAACTGTAAATATTAATGTCTATTTCTCCAGGTAATATGCTAAGTTACTTAGCTACCAAACTAACAAAGCTACCGGGTCAACAGTTCATCCACAACCACAGGTGTTAGCTATCAAGCTAATGTTAGCTCGCTATAAAGCAGGTTAGATATTTCCAGCCGTTTGTGCCTCATAAATTTCGCTTACAGAGATAACTAACTATCGGTTTCTCTAAAAGATAACAAAGAAGGTCGTTTGTAAAAACACTTACCGCTTCTCTGATGGTATTTCTCGAAACCTTGAAGACTTTTCTAACCGTTTGGATTACAGAGTAGGGTTGCTTGGCAACGCCTTGTAGGATTCCTTACTTTACAGGTTGTCCGCCATCTTTATTTTGATTCCTACCCTGCGTTCCAAATCGCATACTTCTACTATATGCTTTTAGTATGTACTGCAGCTGCCCTTAAAAAGTATGTAGCGTAGTATGCAGTATGGATGCAGTATGCATACTATTGGGACACACTACATCCGCCATCACATCCACCCTGAACTCCGACCCTCTTGCTCACCTCCGCCGCCGTCCGTAGCGCCACATTTGAATATTTTGTTTTGTTGTACTTCGGAGATGCAGCCAATCTCCTCTCTTCGAGCCCGCCAGAGTCGTGCATACCGTCGGAGGTGCCGGAGAGCTCTGTTGCTGTTATGTCGTAATATATGTTGTTGTTTCTAATAAACTGATGTGTTCACGTAAACAGTCCCAAGCCTATTATTAGTGACCTGTCTGCTGAACTAGTCACCAGTAGGCACATTAACCCCCTTCACACACAGCTCTCTGTTGCTGGCAGATGTTTGATGTTGAATATATTTACAGCTGTGCAGCTGCTGGCACTATATTCTGTCTGCACGTGAAGCAGCCTTACATTCACATTACTTTTATTTGTAGTGTAACATACCTGCACATTCTTACTACATTACTTAATATGTATTTGACTTTTACTATTTATATATTTACTAGTCTATACTGCTCATACCTGGCCCATAGTGTATTCATATTTAGTCATATGCATTCATTATTTATACCACACTTACCCCACTGCCTATACTGGTAGAATCTTCTATATTGTAGTCATAGTTGAACCCTAACACTGATTATACTATAATCACAATAAAGTTGAATGTTGTAACTGTGTTCTTGCAAAACTGTATGATATGTGACAGTATATAATCAGATCATTGCAGTCCTAATATGTAGTGTCTTAGTATCTCAAATTAAATAAACCATGTATGAAAGGAAGTGTGGGCGTTGGTTGTACACGCAGCTCAGTCAGTGTGACGTAACTTCCGCTGCGCAAAGGATTGTGGGTCAGAATGGCCAAAGAAGCATGCTGACATGCATACTGCGAAATATGACCGGATGTAGTAGAACATCCTGGTACTTTTGGCATACTGCATCTGACATACTATGTATTGGGACACACTAATTCTTTTTCTGGCATACTAAATAGTATGGTAGTATGGGTATTGGAACGCAGGGCTACATCAAGAAAACTAGGATAAAATACCTTTATAGATTCCTTGTCGTAAACGGAAGTGCAACTTCGCAAACAGGTTAAATCTTTTAAGTAAAGGACTGTTCTGTACTCATCAGAGGAAGGAGGTGGCTGGAGTGTGACTCTTGTTTAATTTGACACTCCCCAAAGCTACAAATATTTCCCTTGAGCCTCCCTGAATGACACCATAGATTAGTTAAAAGATTTTAAAACTTACTATTTGATGTTTGAAAGTCAAAAGTTGAGGATGTAATCCTGGAGTTGAAAAAAGCTCTCTTTTTCACTCATCCTGCATGCTGCTTAATTAGCACAAACAGTTTACTGTTGGCCAAATTTTAAATGAGACATGTAGAATAAAGTGATTTTTAGGAAATATTACTTCTTTCAAGCTCACATTTTTATTTATTCATTCGTTTATTTTTGTTTTCCTGATGGAAGCTAAGTCCCTTATGTTGTGTCCAAGGACTGTCAGAAATTTGAAAATCCAATGAAAATTTTTTACAGTTTCTCACCATGATCAATGTTGTAATTTTTATTTTTAAAGAAAATATTTCTTCCAAACCCCCAGTCTTGGAAGGCATGTTTTCTTTAGTACTTGGATACACCTTGTGGTGCAACCTGGACACATCTTCAGTGATGTTTTTAAAAAAAAAAAAAAAAAAAAAAAACCTAAAAACTTGTAGTACAAAAAATCTAAAATACAACTATTTAAACTTGTATGAACCTCCTCTATGACAAAAAAATTAAAAAATAAAAATTTAAGTCCCTCCTCAGTGCTTAAAAAAGTATTTGACATACTTCCCTCTTTTAACACCCGCCCTTTCCTCCTCATAAATACCAAACAGTCTGTAAGTTAGTTTAAAAGTTCTTTAAAATATATTTTAGATAAACTAATGGTTACTTGTAAAACTCAAATGTAAGCTAATAACCAAGAGCCACAAACCAGAGCTTGGTAATTTAATCATAAAAGCAGATACCCTCCAACATAAATATAAATGTATTGTAAAATAGCTATCAGTTCAGTGATAACATTTTTTCAGGGGTTAACATTTGCACGTACCAAATATAAAAGTGTCTTAATGTAAAAAAAAAAATAAAATAAAATAAAAATGTAGGTAATTGGTGATGGAGGAAAGGGCACACTTGGGAAAAATTGGGGTAATAATACAAAAACTTGATTTTCTTAAAAGTTAAAAGGCATAAATCACTAAGCAACTAGAGTCATGCTAGCAGCTCTGTAAGGCTGTAAGCACAATGCTGCTTTGAGCTAAATGCTAACATCAGAATGCTAACTGTATCTATGGTGCTAACATGCTGGTGCTAAACAGGTGTAAACTTGTTCCACGTTCACCATCTTAACTAAACATGTTAGTATGATAAAAGTTGTCGGCTAAGGCTGATGGGTATGACAATAGTTTTGCAGGTATTTGGTCGTAAACCAGACTGAACCAAATTAAATGTCTGACCTGAAAATGTGCTAGAGCAGTGGTTCCCAACTAGTCCAGAAGTGGCTCTAAATGTGGGTCGCAGGTCCACTCTGAATGAACCACAAGTGACTTTCTAATGTACCAACTTTGTAAAAAAAAACACAGGTTATTTTTATGTACAGTGAATTTCCAGCACAGAGCTTTTATTTTGAAGTGCCGTTTCCTGCTGTAGCGCAAATGAATTACAAACAGCTACTTAACAGAGACGGCAAATTAGCTTGAGACATGGTCAAACACAAGTATAACGCTGAATGTATTAAACTGTGACCTTGAACTAATGACTAAGGAGAAATCTGGACCTTGTGGCTGAACCAGTTGGGAACCACTGGGCTAGAGGAAAATTTAGGGAACCACAAAAGGCAGTAGGATTCATTGTGTCTGTACCAAATTCAATGACAATGCAAATGCAGGAATATTTTATCAACCTATGAATTTAAGGGTCATTGAAAAATCTTTTGTTAGCAGTCAGAAGAGAAATGTTTTCCAAATCAAACAGGTTTTATGATCAAATAAATACATTTAATCCCAAAGTTTGATAAATCATACATGTAACATAATCAAAGTGAGTGATATACAGTACAGTCATTTCACTAAAAACCTGCACATTTCAATGAAAAAATAATATACAGCACATGGGGCTAATAATCACTTGGATAAAATCTGTTTGGAGGAGAGATTGAAAACTTTTGGACACATGCAACCTCGAGATAAAAATACCAGAAAGTCAGTTCAGTTTTAACATACTGTACATGCACATACACATACAGAGATTTAGCCTCTGTAACACACACTATACACACTCACCTAATACTCCTTCATTCACATATTGCAGAGAACAAATACACTTCATTTTGCATGTTGTTGTGTGATTTGTCTCGTCGAAGCAGTAGAATTGGATAAAGACATTAGCTGCATACCAGTTCTCATAATGTAGTTTAGTAAATTTTTTAAAGAGAAAAAGTTAACGGCCTTGAGCTGGGTAATCATTGCTGGGTCAGAAGCCTCTATTGCTTTTAAGCCTGTTGATTCATGAATGACATAAAATAATAATAATAATAATAATAATAATAAAAACAAAAAAACATCATTTTGTTTTTGATCCTAATACAGATTTGTGACCTTCATGTTCTTGTCCAAGCTTTAAAAAACATTTTCCAGCTGCAGTTTTCAATTCATCCACCGGGTGGCAGCAGTGTACCTCATGTGGCACAGCTTCCTGCCATCCACCCTATGGACTCACAGGGGAGACAGTGAGGGGGAAACACTGCATGCCATTGCAGCCACAATGATGAAGGTCACACCTCTACATAGTCCAGTAGTGTCGTGGAAACATGGATTTGTTTTTTGCATTTTTTTTTGGTCAAAATGTGGAAGTTCAGCTATTGTCAGCACAAAATGTTGTGATAGAGTCAATAACATGAATGGTCCTCCTGAGGAATCAGCAACCATGTTTCCATTTCATGTATATTGTGAGTCCCCTGGCACCTTGAAGTGTCACAACTGTTTCACGCAGTAGCACCAGATCCACCGACTCAAGCTAAAAACGTTACCGTCAGCTCCCGTGTGCATTAAGGTGAGCGCACAGTCCTTGATCTTTTCACTCACAGAGCACAGGAAGTGTCAGGATCAACAGTAAGAGTAACAACACCAGAGGATTATTCGCAAAAAGCATGTTTTCACCTGCTCGGAGTACCAGATGTCTGGATGTTGCCATGTAGCTGTGAAGTTAAGACCATTCAGAATCCAGTGACAGTTAATCTAATGCTACCTGAACTGTTCTAAGTCTTGTGCAACGCCACAGAGGTCATTATTCACCAAGGAAACCAAATCAATTGTGACTCACAGATCGTTAATGCTGGAAAGAGATGAGCAGCAAATGTGAGGGTTTCCTTTAATTAATCATTTCATTATATCTGCTGCATATTTCCTGCTCTTCACTTCACACACTTGTCAAACTGTAACACAAATAAGGAAAGAGGTCATGAAAACGTGACGAGCCACAACACTTTGAACAAACGCTCCAATGGGCAAAACCTGTGAATGTACCGTTTGTTCTTTACAGGTCATCCTCAAATCTGAAAACCTGACGTTACACCTGAACCACTTGTCATTCTGTGTCACTCAAATTTGACTATTGCTACTTTATCAATGGACAAACTTCTTTGATCGTGTGGCAGCTGGCGTGACGAAAAAAAACTTCTCACAAGAAAATTGTATGAATTGACTGATTGATTTTCAGTGAATGAAAATTAAGAAATGAGGCCTTTGTGACAGCAGCAGAATCGAGATGACATTAAAGCGCACACAATGGACATGCAAACATGAAAAGCTTTTCTGAAAAACTGAAAAAAATTAGCCAGAGATTTGGTGCTTTATGCTGCTCATGACTCATAATCATTGTCATTAACAGAAAAGCGCCCCTGCTATTATAGCAAATGGACTGCATCTATTTAGCGCCTTAAAATCCCTCACATTAGCCGACACACACGACCATTCATACACGGATGGTGGGGAAGCTGCCATGCAAGGCCGTGTACCTGCTCGCCAGGAGCAGTTTGGGGTTCGGTGTCTTGCTCAAGGACACTTCAACATGCTGTCAGGAGGAGACGACCGCCAATCGACCGTGATAACTGGTCGAGCGGCTCCACTGCCTGAGCTACTCTCGTTCCCCACACACACAAGCAGCAGACTGACGGACAGAATGACTGCTAAATGAACTTTGTAAAAATGTATATTATATTGGAAGACAACTTTTTCATGCATTTTTTTCCAGGCATTGTGGGTATTCACTAAAAACATTCTTCATGATGTAAGCGGACACACAGAGCCTCAGGGTGGACGGTATGTTCTTAAAGAGCTTTTTGTAGCTACATTACTACAGTACTTTGAATAATACTAAAGGACAGTATGTACATTTTAAAAAGAACAGCTGTAGCTACTTGTTATTAGGATTTGTATGCAGCAAGCCTTCTGCTTTCAGATAGACTGATGTGCCCTTGAAAAACAGAAATATTGTTTTTGAATTTGTTCCTTCGCGGGACGATAACACTAATCTTTGCAACAGTAGTTTTTTTTTTAATCATCCCGAGGTCTGTGCAGTCTGTGGGACAGGAGATACTGAAGGTGTCATCCTGGCCATTCAAGACCTTGGTCTCCTTAAGGTCAACCCCACATGGAGATGGGTGGGTGTGTTATGAGATGCAGCAAACACAGCAGCATGGAGTTATTGTGCCTCTGTTGTCAGTAGAGAGCACAGTGAGTGATTTTAGGCGTTTGAAGCCTCAGTTAGATTTTGTTTTCTGGCTGTTCTGATACTCTGTACACCTCTGCACACCAGCCCAGTGTACATGGCTGTCAGTTTGTCTCCCCCCTGAACAGTTAATGGGGGAGGACTGCTTATGAAAAGTGACTGAGGAGGGTAGAGGAGGTGTAGCAGGGCGATTGGGCTGGTTTCAGATTGTGTTCTTCCTTCCTTCATTCTCCTTTAAGGTAGCCGTTAGCATCATTTCTCATCCCTCTGCTTCTTTCTCTCCTCCTCCCACCACCCACAGGTCCTCCTGTCCCTCTTCCGCCCCCGCCATCTAACCGATGGTTTGACCAACCGTCCTCCGGCCCCTCGTGGAAGCGCAGCCGCAGCGTTTTGCGGATGACCAAGCGCTCCACGATGAAGGAGGCGCAGAACCAGGGCACGGCATACTCGGCCGTGATCAGTCCCATGAAGTTGTAGCGGAACTCAGAGTAGTCCCAGGGGCAGGCGTTGAACTGGCGCAGCAGCAGCCCCGTGCCGAACTCCCACAGGTACGTCCATAAAGTGTAGATGATGCAGCGCAGCAGCACGGGGCAGCGGCCGCGCAGCTTCAGGTACATCCGCTCCACGATCAGGATGCAGGTGCCGTAGATGAAGAGCGCCCACACGCTGGTCACCCCCGGGAATTTCCAGTTGCAGTTCACCACAAACTCCCAGGCGGCTGTGAACATGACCTCGCAGAAGTAGCCATGGATGGCGTAGAGATACCAGCGTGACAGCGCCGTGAGAGGTACAGGAGCCTCTGGGGTTTCCATGGTCACCATCCTTTCTCTTGTTATCACACAAATGTTCTATTTGTGATGATGAGTTGCAGGTCTGAGGGAAGAGGAGCGAAAGACAGGTGTAAGAAAAATGACACAAAGGCAACACAGTACAATAAATCAACTCCATCCAACTTAATTTAAAGCTCATGAAATAATATTTGGATACATTTTACAGAGCGTATTTTTTGATAAGAGAAGTGTATGCAATACTTTAAATTGCAAAAGTCCATGTCTAGCACAAACTGAGGAAGAATGTACCAGTAATTGGGCTTTTGTCCACGTCTCTTCCAAAATAGTAACCCCCAAATAATCTGCCCAGGCTACTTTAAAGTAATCTAGGGAGGCAGTACAATCTAAACATGAAAGTGTATCATAAATAACAGTGGTGTCTCAAGTATCACAATATTTTTAACCAAATACCTCAATATCAATGTTGCAATGTATTGTAGGGTTGGCTATTAGTGCATCCACAAAATATATACACAATGAGATTTTTGATAAATAATAATCAGTAATATGTATATAATGACTAAATGGGTAACAGCAAAAAACAAAATAGCGAGAGCAGTCTGGTAATTTCAGAAAATTACACCACTTTTCTATAATCCAGCCTTTAAAACCAGTAAAAGACAACACACATTACCATAGTACAATATCCAAAATTTTAAACTATGTCTAGTCTCATATTACGATATTGATACAATATCGGTATACTGTTCAGCCCGAGTTGGCAATAAACATTTAATCTGTCTACATTCAGCAGAGCCTTATCGTAGTGGCGGAGTCCGCCATTTCCACGAGTGATTCACAAGAAACACTGCAGCATGTAATCCAGCGTAATTTTACCTCATTGATCATCAGCCTCGCTGTCGGACTTGTATTAAATTACTGATAATTCAAACTGAATATCCTACTGCTGCTGCTTCACATTAAAAGCATTCAACTCGCAAAACATAGGGTGACTTTTATTGTGTAGAAGCCACAGGAAAAACAATGTATGTCACCTCTATTAGTGCTTATCATGATCATTCATCAAACATGTAACCACCAAACAAGACATGTCATTTTCTGTATTTTTAACAGCAACTCAGTTTTAAATAGGTCTGTATGCGACAGGCTGCACACTTCCAACTCCTCAGCAAGTAACCAAATCCTTTTACTGTGTCCTGCTGTTGTGTGGAAAACTACTTATACTGTGCACAGCATGAAATCATCACTGCTGCTCCTGACATAATGGAAAAAGCAGATTATTGACTGGCTTTTGTATTAAACGATGTGTTTGTTTGGCTGCACTGGAAACAATACAAGAGGTCACAATGAGAAAAGGAAGCGCTGCTTGGATCTGATGTCTGGTCCAACAGGTGCTCTTTGGTAAGGCAGGTAGTAGAACAAAAAACAAGATCTGGGAAGTCTCAAATTAATGCAGACAACCATGAAAAAAGCACAAGGCACTCTGTCTTCAGGTGAAATAATGTTCATTAATTTATTCTTCGAGTATAGGCACCAGCTGCTCTTCTGCTAAAGTAGCTGCTCAATGAGTGTTTGCACTTGGTCAGGAACCACAGGTGTCCCCAAATCAACCAGGGGTGAAATCGTAAGGATTACAACTTGAATTGCAAATGGTGCCAAGCCAAAGTTCAATGAAGGACAAGGCAATGAAAAACTTGACGGACATCAGAAAGATGAAATTAGAGACAGCAGGGCTTCAGAGCACTTTAACTCCACGGCCTTCCCTCACTTGATGCTATTTACTGACTGACTGAAAGGGTCTCTTATGTAAGGTATAGCTTTATCATCTGACTGCCTACATCATGTGCTCTTTTTCCAAATCCCGCAGCTTGACGCACACAGGCTTTGGTATCAGGTGTCAGGAGGCCCACGCAGGGTTGGATCCTTCCTCTATTTATCACGCCGCATGTCTAATAAAAAACACTGAAGGCAAACGGCATCATACCGAGGAGCTCAGAGACCACATGGTTTGAGAAGGCCACTGTGTGTATATCATCTACTATACAATACATCCAGAGGAAACTGTGTCATAACAGCAACCATTATACAATGGATCATAACTGCTCTGTAAAATACAAGCTCACAGAGAGGTTAGGAGTACAAAAGCTTGTTTGAAGAACAAAAGCCGATTTTTTTGGCTCTTTTTGTCTTCAAAGGCTGGCTGGGGCCCAGAGTGGGCCCATGGGGATTAGCACATTTCTCCCAAAACAAGGAACAAGGGTTTCATGTGAGGAACTGGGCCACAGCAATGGACCAAGTGACCTCCCTAAACCCCTTATACCATCTTTTCACTGCCTGCCTGGGAAACTCTCCCTCTCCTCCCATCTATCCAAGCATGCCTGGGTCAAACACTGTTTTGCAAAATATTTCAGCATAATGCTTTATCCTGCTGAGAGAACCAGATTCAGTAAAATGGGTTTACTACATCAGAACAGGAATATATCAGAACAGGATTAGTTACATATCATATAGTAAAGCAAGCTAAACTGACTTTTCCCTGTGACTTCTGTGTTGAAAAACATCAATCACATAGTCATCAATGCAAGAACTTTGAAAGCATCACCATTTTGGGGAATGTGCTCATTTGCTGAGTTGGACGATAAGATTGATATCCATTAGCTTAGCTTAGCATGAAGACCAGAAACAGCTAGCCTAGCTTTGCCAGAAGGTGGTAAGATCCACCAGGTAGCACCTCAAAAGCTCAGTTATTCATTCATTAATTTATTCATTTTCTGTAACTGCCTATCCTGTTAGGAGTCACTAGGGTGCTGGAGCCTATCCCAGCTGACATTGGATGAGAACCATTTGCGCTCACATTCACCCCCCTTGAGGCTTGAGGATTAGACCGTGCAGTGTGAGCTCTCCAAAAATTTGAGCTTTAGCTTTACATCACAGAATATTTACTTGTTGAGTGGAAGTTGGGATTAAAAACATTTCTAAAATGGGCTCAGATCATACAGTGTATGCCCGGCTTAATCCACACAAAAACAATGACAACAAGACTTCAGGAAGTCACTGTGTCCGTCCAAAAAATAGTTTGGCACATGACTGCCAAGTAAATTTTTACTGGAATTTGGAAGGTGGAATTTGTTGCATTTGGACAGATACCGGCTAGATGTGCCCCCTTGTTTCCAGTCTTTATGCTAATCTAAGCTAACTGGTGGCTGGTTGTTGCCTAATGCTTAACATACAGATATAAGGTATTAATCTCCTCATCACTAAAGGGTCTGCATCAAAGTGTTGCTGTTGATAGATAGACCCAATCACTCTGTCTGTTTGCTACCAGGTGTTTTTACCCCCCCTTCATCTCTCACCCGAGGATCGTTCACCTTCTTTCTCCCCATCCACTTTTCTCTCCCCATTTCACAATTCAATTCCCCTTCGCCTGTCTTTTTTCTATTGCCTGCACAACGCCATTTGCTCAGCACTCACATGCCCACTAAGCTCCTAATGATGAAAAATTTGGAATGCAATATTCAGCCATGTAACACTCAACTTCCTGCCAAACACCCTATAGATATAAACAACAGTCTTACAGTCTCTCTCTTTATGTTAGTCTTCTCATCTTCCGTATACATGCACGATGAATGGCTATTTCAGGAGAGGTAAAGTTAGGTCAACTTAAAAATTTAGAACTGTACCTTCATATAGCAAGAAGTATCTTCTCACAGCTGGTATTGACAAAGCGTAGGCTTTCCCTCCTACTCACGTCTATTTTTCGTGAGTGTAAAAATTTCTGTTTTTACTAATGTTTAATATCCATAAATCAGTAAGTCATATTCTCAGTGCTTCTCATCTGTATATCAGAGACATCCTAATGGGATATCATAATGACTTCTTGGGAAGTTTGGCAGCCTCTCCAGGTCTTAACACTGCACTCTAAACTGTCAACACAACCGCTCAGATTACACTAGAAATCCCTCTGATTGTTTACTGTGCAACGGCAGATTTGTTTGTCACAAAACAGGAAGAGAGCGTGTTGTAAAAAGAGCAAAGAGGTTTCTGAGATTCCCTGAAGAGTGGACGAATGGTCACTTTTAGCACATTTATGCTTTAATAAAGTGAAACTTGAAACTGAGGCAAGCTAGAGACGTGACTGAGGTTTGAAATGTGATCTTAAAGCAAAGGAACAAACAGTGACGTTAGGCTTAAACAGAACCTTTTAATGTTCTCAACCATTTATGGTGCTTATGTTATCATTATCAGAATTCATGTGACCATGATATATTGGCATTTAAGAGTGATGTAATCTAATTTTGTGTTTGACCCATGACTGTATAATGTATAATATAAAGATGGACAATGTATCTCCACTTCCTCCCATTGTACAAAAATGAACCCAAAACATCCCACATACAGCCACTGCCACTGTATGCTGGTGACATCATTTGGAGCCAGAGGCTGCGGTGTCAAGTTCCTGGTATCCGTGGCGTTGATTGCAGGCACTCGACTCGCAAACACGGCTGTCAATCATGACGTTAAACCCCCTTTTTACAGCATCAAATAATTAATTAAAACTAAACTTATCAGAAAAGTGAATGCTTGAGCATACAGCAGCGTGATAAGAACTACCTGAAATGACACAAACCATCTTTGGAAAAAAATTATTTGATGTGTACTTTGATTTTGTAGTCCCATCCCCACCCACTAACATGGAGAGGGCCAGGTTTATGACCTATACTGCAGCCAGCCACCAAGGGGCGATCGTCATGTTTTGGCTTCTTGGCTACATTTTTGGGTATCTGTCATGTCCTCCATCTTTATTATATATGGTTTAAATTTAAACTTTACTGGGACAGTCCAATGTTTATGTTACTCTCAGCAACTGTCACTTGCTTTGTGCTCCTTTTTTTGTAGCATTTCATTAAGTAAAACCTTGAACAAATAGTGTGTAAGTTCCTTTTAATTAGATGAATCAACTGTATTGGTGTTAAGATTAGATTTTCTTTGTGTAACTGCCAGCAATGATGGAATTGGAATAAGCTGAATGATTATGAGGCTGAACTGAAGGAGGTGTTATTCTGCACAGTATTACATAAATGC